TCAGTCTGGATACTGTGTAAGCTCTGTCTTAGCAGGCCTGAGATAAAGTCTAGACCACGTAGGCAGACCTTGGATCATATTGATAATAATTTGATTAGGCAGACCCTATTTCATAATTCTTATACATTTTATTATAAATTTCTTTGCTTTCTGCCCTGTCTTCTCCTTTGTTTTGTTTGTTTGTTTGTTTTTCTTTACCAACGCAGAGTACAGTTAGCTGTTTGATCCAAAATAAAGTGCTTAGGAGATAATCATTTCCATGAAAACCTCCTCAGTTGTGCCTGCTGTATTCTGAGGAAGCTGTGTGGGGATAACTTGAGAAGTTGGTAGGAGGTAATCGGTGAGTGCTTTGCTTCCTGTTGCCATCCTGGCTGTGTGGTGAAAGGAGGTCTATTGTGGAGAATGGTTATACTACCACACAGCTAGCTAACTTGTTGGAATTTTTTAGGTTTGGGTGCTTTTTTGTTTTTTGCTTTTTTATTGCTTTGAATATTTTTAATATTCTGAATTTGGGCCCTTGAGATATTTGTGAAAACAGACCACAGCACATGGTTGAAGGTGAAAGTACAGGTTGGAGGAGTGGGTTCTCTCCTGGGTAATGACCACAGGCTCTCAGAGTTGGTTGCAAGTGCATTTGCTCACTCAGACATGTAGCCTGATGAGTGTCTACAGCCATCAGCTCCTCATTCAGCTCTTCTGTGTCAGGAACAGTTTATTGTGGGCCCCTCTGAGAATCTGGGTCCTCAGAGAGGACAGTTCACCGTACATCTGGGCAATGACTCTAACCAGAGGCTGGTTCAGAACTAAGTCTTAGTTAGAAGAGACGACAGAGGTTCTGTTTAGTCAACAAAAACGATGGACTGGGTATTAAGTCTGTCTTGTTCCTCACTGATACAAATTGGTAGAGTTGTGCTCTAATTGTATTTTGAGAGAAAGTTTTTTTTTTTTTAAACAGGAAGGGTGATATGTAGTGGGATATTTTTCCTGTAAGTTGAGAGGAGCTAAGGTGGGAGGAGTACGGAGAAGAAGAGGAGGAGTAAGGAGAGGAAGAGGAGAAGGAAGAAGAGGAGCTTTGGGAGAGAGGACAAGAGAGAGGGGAACATGGAAGTGGATGTGTGTCTGTGTCTAGCAGTCAAAGGTAGTTGGTATATCTAGGTTAAGTTGTTGGTATATCTAGGTTGGGTATTGGGTTACACCTCTGATTGTGTGGCCATCTTGTTATTGAGCATTACCAAATATATAAAGCCTTTGGATAATCTAAGCATTAGAGTCTCATTCCTACCACGCCTGCGTGGATGGTGAGATGGTCTGGGCACTGCCCAGCCTTGTAGAAACAGCGTGAAAGATTGGCAAAGCCATCTCCCACACTGGTGTCTCCTGAGTGGCAGGGCTGGTGTTACTGGTTGGCCATTCCTAGCTACGGTGTACACATGGCCTCTGGCCACGGAACTTGCCAGCTGAGCTAGGCAGAGCCACCGCAGCTTAGATAGTCGGCTTGACCTGTGGCCGTTTTTAAATATCTCCCACTAACAATGCACCATCATCCCATGGCTCCTGTCTCACTTTTAAAAGCAAAAGGGGGAGGGACATAACAATAGACAGTGAGGAAATCCAGAGAATCATTAGGTCATACTTAAAAACCTATACTCCACAAAATTGGTAAATCTAAAACAAAATTATTTTCTTGATAGACAATACTTACTAAAGTTAACAAAAGACCAGATAAGCAATTGAAATAGACCTATAAGACCCAAGGAAAATAGAAGTCATTAAAAATCTCCCAACCAGGAAAAGCCCAAGGCAAGATCATTTTTATACAGAATTCTATCAGAGTTTCAAAGAGCTAATACCAATACTCCTCAAATTATTACACAAAATAGAAACAGATAGAACACTACAAAACTCATTTTATGGGGCTGCA